GGGAGACCGTGTCAAGCAAGCGGAATCTCCTCCGCCGCCGCAGCATCGGTAAATTATCGGATCCCTGGTTCGTGCCCGGATCTACCGGACGTTGGCCGTGGTTCGCACGTGCACCTGCCCATGTTGGACTGCCACTGACTGCAGGCTGGCAAAGCCTCCAAGCAAAAACGACACACGACGAAATGCCGATGGATCGAGTTTGATTGATGCCGCAGAGGTGGCAGCGTCCCGAGCTTCATGTCATTTTTAGCACTCGGGTTAGACCCTGGCAGGGACCACAATTCGGAACTAACAAGGTCCATGCCAAGAGCGTCGATGCAAAGCATACGCATCATGGGTGTTCGACTCTAAGGATCAGATGTTGCGGAAGCGTTGGCTGTTTGTCAACGCCGGGACCCCTTCCTTCGTCTCAGTTCCGTCGGCAGCAAGTTCTTGTCCGGATTAGCTGCCAGGTTTGGCGTAACATTGCAGACACACCGGTGGAGAGCTTTCCTCTGGCTGCCTGCGACGCACAGTCCACAGCAGGGAGCCAAGGGTTTGAGATGTTGACCGGTGAAGCATGGTTTCTAGTTTCTAGGTCAGTGGGTTTTGGAGCTACAGCCGAGGCCCTTGATGACCTGATTGTCTTTGAGATCAGGTATGCAGATCGCACAGGCCATCAAATTACGCACGAGTTTGAAGCATGTGCAACTGCTGTGCCCCTGCAGGAGAGAACTACTTTGCGAGGTACTCCCAGCAGCAGCGCTGGTTCTACTTCCCGAGGACATCTTGAGGTATATGTGTGCAAGTAACTCTCATGGAAAAGCCCGCACTGAGTTACCCAGCTGTAGGAACCTCATAGTAACCATGGTAACCCTCATAAACAAAGCCGGCAAGTAAGTGCGCCTCCGTTACAGTTCCGCCTTCCTCGGCTTTGGGACACTTCTGGGTGCACACCATGGGCGGTGGAAACATCGATCTGATGAGGATGATGATGAGGATGCAGGTGGATTCTTTCGCATGTCCAAGGTGCTTGGATGCGACTAGGCAATGGTGTTGACGTTTCGTGGCCTCTGAACGTAAAGGCTCCTTGCTCAGGCTTCCTCTTTTCAAGCATCTGCAAACTTTCAAGTTTCTTGGG